CCTACTGGGATCCCGACAACTGGCATGCCACCTTCAGCAACTGACAGACCAATTTTCGTCAATTGTTGCTGTTCGTCGTTTGTCAAAGAGGACATGCAAAGACCTTCCGGGAAAAGCACTTTGGATTTCGGGAGACTGAGCTCAATCCCTTTTTGGGAGAGACGTTCCTGAATCCAATTCGTTACAGTGGATATGGCCTGCATGTTCCTAGCCAAACCTGGTGGAAGATGTGCTTGGAGGTCGTCGACGTATCCGATGAGTTTGACTCCTGGCACTGGTGGCTTGTTGTTGAACTCTTTCATGATATCAAGGAGTCCTACACAGAAGCCGAACCCTCCCAAATTGCAGCCTTGTTGAACTCCGCGCTGTGAAAGGACAACCTCGATCGAACCACGTGTGTGTGTTTGTGTGTGTGTGTGTGTTTTTGGACCCGGTTTTTAAATAACTGCACCCCCGGTACGGGAATGTCGAAACGTGCGTACCCGGTGAGTCTACCAACTTTATCCTTTCCATGGAAGCTGCACGGCCATGTCTACCCACGACCCCAAATTTTCGAGGTTGATTGTATTACCCCCCTCGCCTGCTTCCTCGCATGTGTCTCCCTATGAAACACAACCTCTAATGCTTGTTCTTATTTTCTTCTCCTTGCCCCCGCGACATTTCCGCCGGATCCAAAACCCGCCTGTGCGAAGCTCGTGATTCGGTGCTGCTGCCGTCTTCTTCCGAGGAAGAGGAAGAGGAGGAGTTTGACGAAAGCGAGGCCAACATCACGGGCCACGAACGGAACAACTCCCGTCCACCCATCCCCCGTACCCGCGAACACAAAAACGGCGGGGGCGCCGATGAATTGCCCTCATACCCCCTCCCCCCACTCAGCAACAAGAAGGGGAAAGGCAGCAGGTGCTCTCCAGGGGGCGGGGCCGCAGCCTTCCCGTATGGCGACGACTCCCCCTCGAGGCAACGACACGAAGAGGAGATTGAGTCGTCTGGATCGGAATCCTGCGGCGGCTTGTCGAACTCCGACTTCGACGGCAGCGACGGCGAGGGTCGCAAGCCATCCTCATCCTCCTGGCGGCTGTCGTCTTCTTCTCTTTCTCGCCGAAAGGAAGGGGACGGGGAAGGGGAAGGAATGCGGCTTACCAACGGGGGCGGGACAAAAGGGAAAGGGCGTGTCGTTCGCGAGGGTGGTCGGAGGCGGAAGGAATCGTCCAGCCACAGCAGGGTGAGCAGCAGCACGTCATCGAGCCCGATCCCGGGTTCCGTTCAAGGGGCGCGGGCTCGCTCGGCCCCACCTGGCAGCAACAAGGCTCGCAAGGTTGTGAGAGCCCAAGGGAACGAGCAAGGCTGGATAGCCAAGGGTAGTGGGAGCGGCGGTGGCGGTGGCAGTAGAGGGCGAGCGAGGAATCCGGTGCTTTCGTTTCAGGGTTCTCAGATTTCGATGCGAAAGAACAACGAAAGAAGCCTAACGCAGTCCAAAATCAACTTTCCCGTCGTATTGTAGGCTACTGATTGAGCGGGAAGGGTCGCTTGGTTGAGAGAGGATCAAGATGAAGCTCAAATTACTACCGACAAAAAGACATTGACGTCAGATTTGAGAACAGAAATTTGGTGTCACAATGATGTGGAGGGTTGTATGTTACCTGGGGTGTTCGAGGGACATTTGGACCGTAGTTTCTGTCGGGCAAATTTCAATGAATGAGACTGCTTCTTGTCGTCAATCTCGCTCTCGCAGAGGGCGATATTACTATTTCTAGCGATGTTTCGGTTGATCGAGAACGCTCCCGCCTTGGGTCAGGCGCTCTTTGTAGTGGACGGCACCAGGGGGAAGAGAATCGTGTACAGTAGAGGAGAAAGATGTTCGGAGGAAGTTTACGACACAGCAAGGAGTCTACAGGCCAGCTTTGATGCAGGAATCCTCGAACGTCTTGATTTTTTTTGTCGATTATTTTTTGACTTGCAGTACCGTACAGCAGGGGAAGGGCAATGCGAGTACAAGGTGGGTCATGCATGGTTGTGCCAGACCGTCTTTGGCCGACATGTGGCAGCTTTGCCAATGGCACGACGTGGCAGGCAGGCTCTTGCCTGGAGGACAGCGGTGTCGCAGTCATTCGTGCCCACTACTGTACGACACGCCTTTGAGGGCTTTGAGGCTTGCCTTGCTTCCGTAGGACAGATCAGAACCGTACAGATCGATCAAATTTAGCTCTGTTGAACGGTCCTTCCGTTCGTTTTGTTCTGTAGGGCATGGGTGATCTGTGTTGTTTGCTCAATGATGATCTGTGTAGGACATCGGTGATCGATGCATGTTTGCCCGAGGTGATCTGTAAACATGGGCGATCGGCGTATGTTAGCCCGAGTGGTCTGGGGATGTTTTCGCGATGGTGATCAGTAGGGTTGTAGTTGAGCTAGCTCACGGTTTGTCCTATGTCCGCATGTTTTCCTTGTGGCTGGCTTACTCTCGACGTTTTTGACTACAAGACCCAAAGGCACAAGTGTTTAGATGCACGCAACAAGCAACAGTCTCGCCCAAGACATTGCACCAATCCTTTGGTTGTTGTTTCCTCCGTAACGGCTTGCATCCAACCGCCACATCTATCTAGCAGATGATGTACTGTAACGGCGCCGCACACACAGCTTCAGCATCGGCTGGATTTGGAGGGCCGGCACCTGAGAGAGATACATAACACCTGGCGTTGTATGCGAGCCTCCCTCCATCAACAACTTTCACTCCAAGACGAGAACCGTCAACCAAATGAACTGTTTCGATTTCAATTACTTCTCTAGACTAAACCAAAGGTTATCTCCAACGCTGGGCCAAGCTGAGCAGCAAGGCCGCCCCCGCCCCGCTCCCCCACCCTGCACGGGGTACTTGCTACAAATGGCAGCCGTCTACTCCCCCTTCTTCTGCACCCAGCGAGTGAGTAACCTTACGCCATATCCAGTGGCGCCTCCCGCTTCGTCTTTCCACACTGGCCCCGCGATGTCGAGGTGCGCCCACGGAGTCTTGGCAAGGGCGGTGACAAAATAAGACAATACGTGGGCCCGGGAGGGGGGGGATTCGTTAAGGGTAGGGGAAAACATTCAAAGGTAGCATTTCGCCCTCGCACAGCCGCTGGCTAGCTTTCGACAAAAAAAAACAATGGCATATGGGGTAAACATCGGTTAGATGAACGATTGCGACGAAGGTGGTAAGGTGGTGCTGTGCACACAAGAACTACGGCAGACGAACAAATCGTGCAACGAAAAGAGCGCACGACGCCAAAACGTTTGTCCGGATCCCGACAACCGTCCAGTCTTATGCATACAACCCAAACAACGGGAAAAAAACAAAATGAGCACCTCAACCACTTTGTCTTAGCCGACAACGGCGTCAGAACCTGAGCCTATATGGACAGTATTTACCAGTATCCTGCCCATTCTGGCTGGTCCCTTCTAGGCTTGATGGCATAACCCCACTTCACCTTCTCTACAAACTCCTTGAGGAAGAGTGCGGCAGTGATGGACGATCCCGGGCGTGCACCGACGTTCTTAAGGTCGGCGATCTTCGACTTGACCTGGTCGCCGTACTCAGGTGCCAAAGGCATGCGCCACAGCTTCTCACCAGTCTCCGCACCGACCTTCACCGAGACGACACAAACGACACGGTGAGGTAGGCAGGTCACAACGTAATTCGTGATGTGAGCAGTGATGTGAGCCTGCGGGTGGTGTGTGGAGCAATGGGTCGCATCACAATATTGCTTCGTGAAACAACAAACCCACGCGCGATATGCTTGTAGTCGGTAAGAAGCGGGGAGATGCTTATCTATTGGTCAAATCTTCATGGGCAGAAGGACGGGATGCTGTAGGAGAAATAGCGGCTACCACAAAACGGTCAAGCAAACAACATGGCCCAATCAACTCAAAGGGCCGCAAGCAATAGCTGCAACAGGGGAGCGCAATACGGGTGAAAACCATCCTTCGCGTCGCAAAACACGTATATGCACGATGAACTGAAATGCTCTAGCCTTTGCTTCTTGCACGAAGTATGCCTTATAGCGGACGTGAAACCGCCAGAATAAAAAAGCAATGACGTCATGTGACGTCACATCCATGTCGTAATTAATCTTACGTCGGTGAGTTCCTTCGCAAGGGTCTCGTCGGAGCTCCACATACCCGCATAGTCAGTCCCCAGAGCAATCTGTCACGACGGATGGGGGGAGAGGGACAAAGAGAGGCACATGGAGCGAGAGGGGGGAGGCGAGAGAGAACGGGGAAGGGGAGAAAGGGGGGGGAGGGAGAGAGAGAGGGTGGGACACCGCTGAGTGAGGCAACGAAAGAGTGCCCAATGCGGAGCAGTTGGATTATCTTTGAGTGGTTATGACTCTCGTGCTGTGTTCAACAGTCAAGTCAATCACCGTTACAATATAAGTCAAGCCACACTACACCATCGTTATAAACATGTGTCGTGTTAGGAATGAAGACTCGGCCACCACTCAACTGCGGTACCTATCAAGAGCTGCACGCTTTGGTTCCTTTCGACAGCGTCGAGCATCTCAGCTACTATACGTTGCCTAGGGGTGGTGCAAAATAGTACAGCCGTAGACCCCGGGCAGGTTGTAAAGCTCAGGTTCAACACACCACAACACGCCCAGGGGCATGGCCATCGCATTGGCTGGTGTCCACGACATCTTGACACACCGACGCCGCCCCTTTCCCTTTCACACTGCATTTGCCTTTGACTTGTAAATCATACTATTTAGCACTACGGCAACAACACTATTAATCGTGCCGACTGGAAAGGATGTTCGAGCCAAACGAATAGTGGGAAATCGCCCCCCCAATCCCCCACCCCCCGTCTGTGCCCCCCCTCTCTCGATGGCCGATGCCTTCGTCGTTGGAAAGGACGATGTGAGTGACGCGAGTGACGCGAGTGACGCGAGTGACGCGAGTGATGCGGGTGATGTGAGCGTGGGCTTACCAGACAGGCACCCGTGAGCGTAGCGCTGTCGATAATGGCGTCCACCCCCAGCTTTTCGGCGAAGACTAGTGCGTCGGCGAGTGTTAGTCGTCCCTCGGCATCAGTGTTGAGTACCTGGTTTAGAACCAACGCAATGACGTACGGCACAAGGCCCGTGAAAAAGGGGACAGCAACGCCAACACTTTCGTCATCATCAACGCTCAACACGGGCTCGGCCCTCGCTGTCAAGGCAGCAAAGCCGGCGCAAATGGGCTCTGGATGCCGCTACCCGATAGACTTCAGCTGACGTGCACAGATAGCACAAGCACATCGCGCCTCAACACAAGCTAGTGAACGAAAGACACCAAGAACAATGCGGACAAGGGCGAGAACCAAACGAGTGGAAACGGTAACCCAAACACCCCTATTGGTGTGGTATTGGTCATGCTGAGAGAAGACCGAGTGCCTTCCGTTCACCACAGCCAGACTGCGCGCCACACCCGGAAAAATCATCACGGACGACGATTTCCTAACAACATCGATTATTTGCCGTGGTTGGTTCAGTTGACTTGCACACTGCATGTCCTGTACCTCACCTCGATGGTCTTCCCGTTGGAAGCGGTAAGAATGTCACCGGGACGCATGGCCTTCTCCGACACCATGTTCTCACAAGCGGCAACAATGAAGTGGGCCTCCACCCCGTCCGGCTTGAGCTGACCAATCGCCTGTCGATACCAGGCAAACACGGACGATACCACGGGGGTATGGCGTCAAAGTAAAGCACCGTCACGTACAAATAATAGCTGGACAGGAGGGCACGTTGGGTACGTCGAGAACATCGACTCTTGGCCTACTTTTACGATACGATACGATACGATACGATACGATACGATACAAACACGTGCGGTTACGTTACGATGTGATGTGACGACGAGCTCCTGAGTATCATCAGGATCCTCATCGCACAGCAAGTGTCGGCGAGGCTGCAGGCAGTGGCCGAAGCCTGCGATACCCAAGTCATTTTCCGCCCACCTTGGCGAAAGAACGCCGAAGCCCCCGAACGTTCGAGCAAAACGTTTGGGCATCGGATTATCGCCAGGCTGCAGGCAGGGAAGTCCACGATGCCCAAAAAGTTTAACTCGAACGGGGGCTTCGGCGTTCTTTCGCCAAGGTGGGCGGAAACACAATAAAAACATTTAAGTAGAGAAGACGAAAAGAGAGATATTCTTCGTTTTTGCTCACAGATGGGCGGAGGAAATGAATGTGATGTGAACACAAGAAGGAAACGATCAGCCCATCAAAAGCAAAGGCTTTAAAATATATATTGCGTGTATTTCTTGACACTGTGTGCGCAGTCGCGCGCCTCTCCCGCCGACAGTTACACTTGTACATCTCACGTTGCGTCTTCCCCCGCCTACACCCGAAAATCGATCCCGCTTGTCGGTCCAAAATGTACAACCTCCTTTTCCGTGACCCCTTTACTGACCCATGTCATCGACACCAAACAAGATATCGATCGACAAAACACAACTTGTTGCGTTTCGTGAAAAAAAATGACGCCGACGAGGCTTCACGCTGATCCCATTCCCCATGCCGACCTTTGTAACCCTACTGTAGTCACACCTTCAATCTCCGTCCTCAGCTTCACCTTCGCACAAGCCCAAAATATGTTGTAACCGTTCTATGCGTATGGTTCTGCCTGCCATTGTTGGTGGTGGTGTACCAGGGTACATTTAGGTTTATGTTTAATTACCTTGGCCGCACCAAGGGTACATGCAGACCCTCCCATGTCGAACTTCATCAGCTCAATCATCGACCCAGCCCCAGCCTGCAGCACACAAAAGACAAAAAGCCAGGACCCACGGGAAGGACGCGAGGTGGGTGCACGTTTCAACAAGGGTTAGAAGACAAGAGGTACAAGAGGTACGAGAGGTAAGAGAGGTACAAGAGGTGGGGTGGAGAGGGATTGAGGAGAAAAGTCGGGGTTGATGCCCCTTGAGTTCACGGTGAGTGAGGAAAACTGTGTCAGGATGGGCCTTCTCTCTGTGGGTAAGCCCGTCTCTCTTCTTCCTCTCACACGTTATCCCCCTGTCTCTTCTTCTATCTATCTATCTATCTCTCTCTCTCTCTCACCATCAAATACATGGGCCGTGACAAACCAGCGTAAACCCTTGCCGTTAAATGCATCGGCATCCACATGCTTGTGAGGGGGGGGTAATCTCCCTCTAAGGGGTGAAGAACTATAATAATACGTCATGCTGATACCTTACAATACAATATATACCTTGTGTTCGTGACGGTGCAAGGCTGACCTCGATACCTCGACCACCGTGTACACGCCTTCGCTGACTTTCATACAGAGTGCTCGTAACGCCCGAAGGGCCAACGCGCACGAGTGTTAACGTTTGCTGAACAGCGAACTAGAATGGAGAACAAGTAGCGGGTCGTTCAGCCTCCAGGATGACAGCAAGGTAAGGCTAGCACAACAAATACACGTACGTACCTTGATGTTGTACCCTCCCGAGTCGAACGTTAGCCCCTTGCCGATAAGTGCGACTTTCTTCTTTGGAGTCCCCGATGGCCTGGCTCCATCATCCACACCGACACCCATCGCATCAACAACAACCATTGAATAACGTCAGACCGTCTGCACAAGCGAAACACTGCCAACAGATGGGTTTAAACATGAGGTGGACAAACAAGGGCGAGTACTTTAAGATAATCAAGAAAATCAAGCACGCGAACTACACCAAAGTATATCAACCCATCATCCGAAGCCATCGCCACCCAACGTCAAACAGATGAGGTTGCCAGGCAAACGTACCAGCACGGCATGCACATGTACAGCAGAACAGCGCCTCTCAAGGTTGAAGCGTGCTCTCTCGGGGCACAGTACACGCGCCTCTCTTTTTGTGGGTATCAAAATTAAAAATGAATTTTATGTATACCGAACAAACAACTAAGGCAGCATTGACATTGTTCGCGGCTGCTCATCCGAGCTTCCTCTGGCTGAGACTCAATCGCTGATGCCACATCATGAACCGACTTACTTCTGCTACATACAGCAATCAGAGGAACACGAGGTCATGCTACAACAATTGTCATCGAATCAATCGAGCACCACATTCTTCTTCCTCTCCTGTTGGTTCTCGGGCGAGCAGTACTGCTGTAGGTTCTCTGTCTCCTCTGAGTTACGCCTTTGTCCCTCATTTGTATGCAAACGTGATGGGCTAAGATCTCACTTGTAGGTGAGGTGGATGAACTTGGGGGGGAACACTGCCCCCTGCGCCACTCCCATGTAGGCTCCCATGCCGAGAGCCACGATCTCCTCCTCCTGCACAAACCGTAACCATCATTGTTGAGCATACATCATTGATACCATCGTGAAGTTCACCAAACTGCTGCCGGTTGTCATCCACGTCATCCCCGCCATCGTTGATTAACTAACATAATTACCATGGTGATTTGCCACTAATATCAGAGGCGAAACTGCGGGGCATCAAATCGCAGTAACATCATCCCGAACCGGAAGTACAACCACAGGCAACGGGTAAACTGTATCATCCGAGACAAGCAATGCATTCGACGGATCGTTACGCTCGCCAGGCATGCCGGAGTAGTTCTTTAGCAGACTAGAGAGCGGCAATCTCAGAGCCATCACGTTCAAAGGGGGAAAAGAGCCGAAGAGCCAATATCTTGCGAAAAGTATGACACATCGAAACTCAAAACTAGTCGCTCAAGGCAACTTGACTGACAAAACAGAGTGGTATTGTAAGGAACAAATACACGTTCGTTGTCTAGCAATGACAATAACCAGCGCCACCGCGTGCAAAATCTATCGGGTGGGAAATTCACGTCACCGGTGCTGCGGCTAGACTACACTACAATACACTACAAGATAATCACACAAGGGGGCAAAAATGCTTGCTCTTGTTCCCCTTGAACACGGACAACACCGCTACCGCACCATGTCCGCAGCCAAAAAAACAAAAAAAATACTGGTGGACACTCTCACGATCACCATTCCCAGTCATGCACAACAAAAGTAAGTGCATTTTTCCTTCCAAACTCGTTTGCACATTCCGGGTGTACAGTAGCGCCCCTGCAGTACCCATGTATGCATCCATTGCCCTTTCATCTCACCTCTAGAATCTCGCATTCCAACCCGTGGTCTTCAGCAATCTTAGCGGCTGCGTCAGCGAGAGCCCCCGGGGTGAGCATGTTGGGAGGGGAGTTAACGAGGTCCCGGCAGAGGCTGACCCCTGATGCCACCGCCTTTGCTGCGTCCAAACCCGCCGACTCCTGATTTGATGGCAGCAAACAAGATAGACACCCGTCAATGCCGTAAACACGCAAAAGCCGAACAGCAACAGACGAGCTGTCTGTTGCTATCACTCCCACACCCACAAGTCTTGCATCTGTGCTATCACTCCAACGTTTATGCATGCCACAGCAACAAACAAAAGGAGCCACTCAAACCCTACATGATCGGCACCACAAAAAACTACAAGTGCTGGTGATGTTTCCTGAACCACCCTACGGCAAACAGCCGTACCTCCTCCAGCGAAACTCCTTCCCTAAGCATACGGTGTTGCCTACGATTAATACTGATTGGGCCACTCCAAGGGTGGAATACACACCACAGTTTCTCAGCGGCGGCAGAATTGTCACTGTTATTTCGACCTCCGTCTTACGCGACAAAGAATTCAGAACTTCACATGAGAACACCTCAACCAAATAGGGTGCAAAGCAAGCATGCGTTCGGCGCGCTAAGGCTCGGGACTCGTGTGAACAAAAAGACAGACAACACCTTCGTCTCACGAACGTTGTTGGTCGACCTCTAAACATAAGACAAACAAAAATATTCAACTCAATAAAATACCTCCCCGCCGATGATGTCGATAGACTGCAGAGGAATATCTTTCTTGTCCTCTTTTCGGGTCTTGTACCTCTGGTCGGCATACATGCCAATCAGTGCCCCCTGCCGAGAATACGGGAGANGGGGGGGGGGGGGGGGGGGGGGGGGGGGGGGGGGGGGGGGGGGGGGGGGGGGGAGGAGGGAGAGAAATCGACAGAGGGAGTAGAGAGAGATGTAGGGCGAGGAGGCGGAGAGATAGGTCAATGAGGTGGTTTTCAACATTTGTAGGTATGTCAAGCGAGAATACGACGCTACATTCGTACCCAGGCTCACACCTGTGTCAGACTCTGCGTGGAGCCTTCCCCGCAACCTTCAGGCAGGACGACCGCCATGCTCTTGCACTTGGACGACTTCGCCAACGCTGCCAGCTTTTGCGTATTGAATCGTGTTGCCAGCGACAGCAAGCAACGATTCCGGTGAGGCCGACACAGAGTAGGACAACAACAGCAGTAGAATAGCGACAGCAGGGGGGGAATCAGACGCATGCGCTAGAAGCATACATCCGCGCACGTTCGTCCGCGATACGTGCAAGCGGACTGCTAAGACCAGAGCACCAAGCAAACCAGCAGGCTTGGAATCAACAGATCACGGCATGGGAAATATGCCAGACTGCCGATCCAGAGAGCGACTTTCCAGAGAAACATACTTGACGCCTCAAGTCTCGTACGAAGCGCTAAGTCAGCCCCCTGTCCGCCCTTGGCTCGCGCTGAATCGTTCACCGCACTCGCGAAACCCCAATTTTGCTTGTCTACATACATTGCGTCCCCCAAACTGAAAACTAAAAAATACCCAACACAAACACTAAACACGCCCGCCCTACACAGTACAGAATCCACACTCATTGTGTTCTTTCGAACAATGCCGGCACGTGAGATCGATCGATGTTCCACCATCACTACAATATGATCGTCTTGCTGTGTGCACCTGTGTGCCGATCGCTTCCAGTGACGTCGGTGTGAGTGAGGAATCATCCTTCTTTCCGAGGCCTATCACTGCGACACGCTTCACGCCGCTCTTGGACCCCAGCATCGCAGAAACGGAACCCTTCTTCTCTCCCTGTGTGGTGTTTGGTGTTTGGTGTTTTCCGTGTTTTGATGGTGGTGGTGAACAGTTTGGTTTCGACCACTGATTTTTGAATGTGGAAGAAGCTATTCAAGACGACACAGTCGAACTATCGTAAACCACTGGTCGCTGCCCAGCGGCACTTAGCCTGTCCAGCAGGCTCCTGCTTGGAAACGGATTGTCGAAATTATATCCTAATGTTGCCGTTACTCTCAGGGAGGCGTGCACGCAAGCGAAGCGCAACAACGATACCACGAGGTATGTACTGCAGTGCTACTCCAGGTGAGTATAGGGACTGCAAACATCACTGGACCATTTTCGGAACGTGTTGACTGCTGACTTCTCCACAAAGGGAATTGGTGACGCTACCCCAGGTGGCATCGTTGTGAAGAAGATGCTGAGAGCTATTGTAGCTTCCTGTTGACACGAGACAAGACAGGCGCGGCATTCCTCTCCTCACACCCCCTTTCCCTTTCCATCTTTCACACACCTTGAACTCCTGCGAAGAAATCATGTCCGCCGCCGCCCCCTCCAGCCCCTTATCCGCCGCCGCGGCCCCGTCCCCCGCGAGCACCGCGAAAGCCTCCTTGTCTTCCTGCTGGAACGCCAGCAGCACCAGCATGTCCCCTTCCCAGGAGTCGGCCTTGCTGACGGGCGACACGGACACCGAGGCCTTGCTCTCCGCCGTGTAGCACATGTCGCCGACTGACAGAGGCGGCACGGGTGTCGCCGCACTGCACCGCACACCAAGGGGAGGGGGCTTGCTCACTATCATGCATGGCTCTAGAGCACTACCCTTCCGTTCGACACATGGCTCCTCAACACGGGCGGAGTAAGGGTTGGGGGCGGGAATAGGGGCGGGGATGCGCATCCCATAAATAATGACCTTGCAGTGTCTTTCGATTTCATGGTGCACCTCGTTAGTGACATGGCCCGTAGTCCAAGGTCTTCCAATTACTTTTCCCCCAACATTTTTGGCACGCCATTGATGGTCTACTGTATACGAAGGAACTCAACCTCTACATTGTGGTCCACCGCACAGCCACTGGTGGGCAATCGTAAACGACTTTCATGCCTGTCGCGGCAGCCATGCAACAAGTCCTCACGGCTGTGCGTCATGCACCAGATCGCGCCAGAAACAAAATCGATGAATGAGACATGTGCTTGTAGTATAGATAAATCAATTCCTACCGACAAGCCACGGCACCGGCTGCTGTTGCCGCAATCGAAAACACTCTCAGATTCATCGAAAAACGGACGACACCTGGAAAAACCTCCGATGACTGCTGGCGACGGAGATGGACTTTAATACACTCAGACAAAGTATCCTGTATTATCATTACCAGCCACAAGCCGTCGCTCCACAATGGCAAATGACCAGCCCGTAACGACCTCCAGCAGATCCACCGCAAGTCAAACACTAAGTTTCTATTGCCACAGCAAACAATAAAGAGTTGCGTACAGTACGCAAAGGCAGGCATCACGAGTACCGTGTACATCTCACCCACTGGTAGACATCATCGCCACGACCCCGCCCCCCCTCGTCGACAAGGCCGGCGAGCTGTTGGCACCAAACGCCGACGTTACCCTCGAAGCCGCGCGGTCAGCTGCAGAAACGGGAACAGCAGCGCTACCAGCTCCTCGCCTGCCGTGTAGGACTGCTGCCGGAGCACCGGCCGAAATGAAGGCGGAACGTCCGCTGCTGCTGCTGCCGCTGCTTGATGCGCGGGAGCCGAAGAAGGCACGAGCTACACTCCTAGATGACGTGCCTGCTCTCGCCTGGGTGCGCGGCGGCAACCGTAGGGTCAACACGCGAACGTAGCTGCAGCAATTAGTGTTTCGTGTTGATACCAGCACACTGCCGTACTTCATAAGCGACGAAGGTGCTCTTGTCGTGCTATGGTTTCAACAAGGGGACGATGAACAAGTGGCGTTGGTCCCTGTTCGCGAAAAAAGGCGGCATGCTGGCTATCGCGTGATGCCCCCCGGCATGGGAGAGCACGAGCCATCAATCTCCAAAGTCTTTCGATATGTCTCCTTGATGTGTCAGCTGATGTTTCTAGTCTAGGCACTGCCGTGCCAGAGGACGGAGAATCATATGAGAAACGGGGTGCTGTTGTGCTGTTGTGTGGCCGAAGGTCCAAAGCGAAGGCCCGGCAATGTACAAACGTAATCCGAATCCTGCAAAAAACTGATGTTGTGTTGGCTGCTCCCTGCTGTCCTCACTGGTGTTTGGCTATATATAGAGTAAAGTCTCATAGCATGGTATCGATGTAGCTCACCCAAGTACTATACCGGTTGTAAATGTACTGCCGCAGAGGACCGACTTTCCAAGGTCGACTTTCCAAGGTCGACTCCTCAAGCTCGACTTTCCAAGCTCGACTTTCCAAGCTCGACTTATTGCTCCACAACGAAGAGGGTGCGGAAAGAGCCCCATGTTTCTACGGAAAGCCCTCGACGAGATGTGTCCAAAAGCACCATTTTGGTGTTGGTACAACATGGGTTGTGAATCAATCAAGTTTTTTGAATTTGGTCTACTGTAGGGGTGCCACCTCGCAGCTTGTTAGATAGACTATAGCTATACCGTATTCCAGCAAGTGTGCTGGGACCTCCTGGGAACCCACGATTCTTCCGCTCAAGGGTACCAGCGGCTGCTGGTCAACCGTGGACGTAACCCGAATTCTAAAAGAGCGCATGCATGCTGAGACGTATCATGGAAGGAAATACGCAGAAAGTTTGGCATTTCAACTCCCCACACGCACGTTGACGTTGAGTATGCGTAGGTCAAGCAGCGCTGCTGTGTCACTACGCGCACATAATTGCGCACACCTTTACAGCCTTTGGGGCTGATCTGATACAGCATGTTTCGCATTCAATGTCGGGTGGTCAGACGGTTGATGGAACGCGCAATATCACCAGCAAACATTGGAAGGGTGTAGACCGCAGCCCTAGTGTACATGAGCTACTACTGCTGTTACCAGGTACACAGGGTGGCCGTTAGAAACATGTCTATCACGTGCATGCAGCAGGTACAGGGTTCAGCAAGCAGACGACCTTACCTCTTGGCTCGCAAAGAGAGCAAGTGTGAGCGCACGACTCATGATTCCACTCATGCGTGCACAGCACGAAATGATCTGGGCCTATGACACGGGGCTGGCTGGTCTTGGCACGGCACTTGTTGGTTCCAGGTCTGTGTGCTCGCCGTGGCCGGTAGGCAGTAGGCACCTCCTGTAGCGGGACCGCAGATATGTAACCACCCCTTTGTTGTACCATTCGCGGACCCCCGGCGCAATCCCTGGACACCCTACCCAGCAGCAGCAGCAGTAGCAGGCACTGCAGCAGGCTGCAGGGTGCCAGACTGCAGAGAGACATCGAGAGGGAGGCCCACACGTGTGTAACGGACGAAGGAGACGATGTTCCGAACGGTGCTGGCGACGATTGTCCCAAGGGCAACGGCGGCAAGCAGGTCGCGAGCAGCCTCCGGTCGCTGCGCACCGTTTACGGCTTTCGCCACCAGACGCCCTTTCCCCTCCTCTCCTTCTCCTCAAGGAGGGCAGTCGCTACCTCTCGACTGCGCTGCCGCTGTTTCAATTAGGTCTGTTCCGAGGAGATGCTCTTGGCGGGAAATGTCCTCGGCCAGCGCGCACGTTGCCGCACCGGGGGGTGGCGAAATCGCTATGCAGGGAGAAGGGGGTGGGGAGGGACAGCAGGGGGAAATGGGCAGCAGCGGGAGAGATGCTCGGGATGCGGTGACGGGCGAGGGGATTTGGGTGGACGAAGAAGATGAGGTATGTGCGTTTGTGTTCGTGTATGATCTTTGTCTTGTAGCGTGGAGACCTATCGTGCCGGCAACATCGGTCCCGACGCAATGCTCACCAATATATTTGATTGCACATGAATATTGGTTGTACACACATAGGCATTCTCGGTAGGTCAACCCGTTCAACAGCAGTATAGGCTAAAAGGTGCATTTCATGCACGTTACAGCAGTATCGGCAAAGCAATGGTGCAGCAGCAGTGAGCCCTCATCAACACTGGTTGACCAACGCCGGTGGCGCTGCATAGCGCCCGTGAACTTGCTGGGCACAAACTGAATGAGATAGTCTTGCCGTCGATTCGCCGGGCACATACCGGCGTTAGTTATTGAGGGCCCACTACAGCAGCAGTATATTGTCGCTATACATGCAGTACTGGTGAAAGTAGAAGACACAAGACACCCAACGTCGGAGAGAGCACACGACTGAGATGAGATGCAACTCAAGAAGACCCACAGTATGCATAGAGCTTTTCTTGGCACCACATAGATGAGTTCCTATGTGCACGTAAAATGTGTCGCGTGCATAACTCACCCACATAAAAAACCACACCCCCCACAGAAGACGACACCCCGATGATAATGTTGGGCATATCTGACAAACGATCGATTTATCACCTGGGCGACACAAGATAACACACCCCTTGAGGTTACGCCGCATAAATTCGTGGGGCCCCTCCTTCTATCACCGGGGTGATACAGTATCTGCCCCAAGGGCATGTGGGCATTGCACACACACACATCTGCCGGTCACCCCGGTGGTCTAGTGGGTAGCCTCGCAGCCTGCCAAGGGCCAGGGCATGGCTTCGAGTCCCGACAGAGTGAGTTTTTGTTCGCTTATAAAATCCTGGTCTCCGTTGGAAGCGACGCGCTGCAACGCTCGTTGTTAGTAAATCATAATCGCCTTCGTAGGTCGCGAGGGAAGGGATTGCTANGGTCACCCCGGTGGTCTAGTGGGTAGCCTCGCAGCCTGCCAAGGGCCAGGGCATGGCTTCGAGTCCCGACAGAGTGAGTTTTTGTTCGCTTATAAAATCCTGGTCTCCGTTGGAAGCGACGCGCTGCAACGCTCGTTGTTAGTAAATCATAATCGCCTTCGTAGGTCGCGAGGGAAGGGATTGCTATACCCTTCTCGCGATAAAAAAATCTCAGGCAGGAACCGCAGGAGGGGGTCCAACCCCCCCCTCCTATGTGACCCCGGTTGGGTCATCTAGCTGGTAGAAGTGGAGGATAGGGGCCAGAGGGGCAGACGACAGAGTCCAATGATGGGAGAAAAACAAACAAATGAAAAAAACATCTGCGTAACTCTCTTTTGGTCGTACCCAATAGCAAGGTATGCAGCAGCCTACTTTTTTGTGTGACGGGGCAGGACGGTGGGCGCACTCTGTGGTCACCGATGTCATGTGCTCAGGAGTGTTGTCACCGCCGTTGAGCTCCTTTGTTTTTACAACATTCCACATACCCACGAGTCATGAAGTGTTCGTACAGGCATTGCCATCACACACCCGCAATACCACACCCCTTGAAGTGTGCGGCAGCAGCGGTTCAACTCTACAAGCAGTGTTACCTTTTTTATGACACACCCTCATTATCACGCCCCCAAACACACCCTGTGGGTATTCGGACGTGCTATCACACACCCTGGTTCATCACACCCTCTTTGGGGCCCCCTGCGAGCTGCGCTTTATCACCCGGGCTACGTAAGATACCACACACCCCACAGGATCCACACCCGGTGATATTATTTTTGAAGCCCAAAAAAAATTCGCCGGGGTGTGTTATTTTGAGTCGTTTACGGTAGGTATCCCGACGGGGGCACGAAGCACGAGGCACAAGGTGCTCCCTCCCCCCGCTCCTCGTGTATTGAGTCACATATGCCAGCTCGAAACATGCCGTTGGTCTAATAATACGGTATCTCAGATTCAGCGTTCGTTTTACTGCTGTACGTCTCTGATACGGCTGTCGTTGTGTATGTGAATGCGACCAATCGATCAATCCCCGCCGCGTTCATTCCCAAAAGGACCAAAGGAGAGGCGTTCGTTGCCAGGTACTGCACAACTGTGCATGTGGCTTGAACAGTTCCTTTCATCTTTCCGCGCTGCCGCATGCTCGCCCGATCGGGTAGACCACGACTTGTTCACTGTTCACTTGTACAGTGCGTCTGCAGCGCGATCCGTGCCAATCATTCCTAACAGTCCCACGGTTACCCCCCCCCTGCCGGCGTGCTTGTTCCCATTTCCCGTGTGCCCCCTCGCCGTATCTCCTTTTGATGTGTCATGCGGTGGGATGCAATATCACATCAACAATAGCCGCTAGATCTGGAGAAACCAAAGAAGGTCCAAAAGTTCTGCGGCAAGGTTATCTCGGACAACATGGACAAGACCATAAAGGTGGCTTTGCCATTTCCCTGTATCTGCGTAGTAAACTTCTTGATCTCGCACCGTCTGTTGTATCCGCTGTATCGCCCCCAGCTCTCTCTCTCTCATGGAAATGTGGAGTGTTTTGCGGCTTTTGCTTCAGACTGCTGATATGCAGCACATGTGCCGTGCTTGACCTGGGGCAATGTGTAGCACGGTGGAAATAACTGCGGGTGTAACAGCTGTGTAATCCCTTCAACCGTACTGTCGGCGCGCATTTTGAGCGTTCTTCATCGATGGATGGTGGCTGGTAATGACGCAGTGACCATCCACAATGATGACGCGATGATGCAGGTGGCTGTCCCATACTGGTACTACGTCAGGCGACTCGGCAAGAGAATCATCCGGTACAGCAAGATGATGGCCCATGATGAGGAGAACAGCGCAAACGTGGGTAACGATCGTTTTACCGATATTTTCAAACCTTGTCGCTCTCTTGTTGTCGCGTTTTTTGTACCGTTTCCTTTTATATCGGCCTTCCGCCAAAGGCAGCAAGGAGGTTCTCTTACGCTTGGCTTGGTATATAATTTTTTTTTTTTATCAGCAACTACTGCGGCGTCTCGCTTGCAGCCTTGGTTTTTGTTGATTGCGGAGCCAAAGGACAAAGTGTCACCAATGGGTGGTGCAAGATGTGAAAAACATGGGTGCCAGCAAACCATGCGCGGTGCCCACCCCATGTTTGACGGACATATGATTTTTTGGGCAGTTGACTTGACACGTGATCGACCATCCCAGTTACATGTGACCTTCCCCAAGCTCGACCAGCTGGCTCCCAGCTGTGGCGTTTTCCAAGCTCCACAGGCCACACAGCTGACTTGTTTAGATTCGAAGAACCCGGCGAACCGCATCGAACCAGGAAGAACAACATGAATCTGTACACAGGGGTCTTTGTCGCCACTCCTTGCCACGTAAGCAATGGAGTAACACTCCGGGCTGATGGTGTCGATACCAACGTTTCGTGCGGCTTCTCTGGTGCAGGTCGGCGACACAGTGATCCTGGTGGATTGCCAACAGAAGAGCAAGAGAAAAAAACACACCCTCTTGAAGATCGTTCGCAAGCTGCCGAGGCTTGACGACATCTGATGGCAACGAAGGAAAAATTGTTTCAAAAGCCGTCTGGTGGGCGAGAGTGGACGTCATGGTATCAATGGCCATCATGGTTCGTCTCCAACTTTTGCACAGGGCGCTGCTGAATATCCCAAGGGTAGTAGCAGAGGACGTTCGCCGCGATACTCCTGCCGTAGACTAAATACCAAATAAGCGTTGCTCCCTGGTACCGCGGCATGCAATGGTTTGACATCATTTCAGCCGCCAGGCTTTCAATGAGCAAGCTAAGAGCTTCCAACGGTCGGGCAAGATAACAGCTTCGACAGCTTTGACAGCTTTGACGCCGGCACGAAGTTGCGGGGCGTGGGTGAATCAGGTGCATGGAACTCTAAGCAATGGACTCCTTGTAGCAAATTCGAGAGCCCGAAGAAGAAGACAAGCTGCTCGACACGGTAGAAAGACTTCCAAGTGGACACGGGCCCTCTCTGCCCTGGGTGATGTTGACTTGCACGGGAAATGTTTCGCGAATATGCAAGGTCGTCAGCGGCGTTCGCCGATCAATATCAGACTATAGGCGCCATCCGCAACTGACCGTCATGAAATTTTAGTGGGGGGGGATGGTGATGGACCATCCCCGGGTAAGGTCTGATTTTTTTTTGGTGTGTTCATAATGCTCTATTCGACCACCCCCCGAGATTTGGGGGAAAGTCGTTGCAAGTACACCTGGGTTTCAATGGGGTGTGCTGTCTCCTGTAGGAAAAACTCTCAAAACGCCAAAAAGCGGGGATGGCCCGATAATATCCCCCCCCCTCTCAGATAGCTGTGATCGGCCTGAAAATTTCAACGTAGGGTTAAATCGGGTCGAGATTTGCGAATCCGTTTTCAGGTTTTCCAAATTCGTCGATCGCATTGAGTTACAGCTATCCCAAACCGCCCAAATGGCGGGGATGGAAGGTTAGCATCCCCTCCCCTCGCAACCTTAAATACCCGGTCCTACGGGCTCAAAGTCTCAATTCTGGGCAATACTGGGGTGGGGATCACGATGCTTCCATCAGAATGACGCAATTCGGTGTTGTCTTTGAGAAATAGGTGTACCAAAGTGCCCTTTTCCTCAAGGATGCAACCACAATCTCGTTTCCTAAATTTGCTCTGCCCACCTTAGTGTCTGGGCAATTTTCTGAGTGGCTCTACCCCCCCGAATTCGGCCAAGCGGAATCGATTGCTGAGGTGAACAACGTAAACAAATACCGGCAACACCACGAAAAAAAAAAACGAAAGCAATCCCGAACCGATTTTTTTTGTTCAACTTTTTAGACGCTGGTTTTGAGCGTTTGAAAGCGAGACAAATAAACGATTTGTGAAAATTTCGTTTTTTCAGCTGGGGAGAGCCCATGACGATCAGTTGCGGATCGCGCCTATAGCAGGGGTCGCTGCCTTTGGTGTGAACTGCCGCTCGGGGTCGCTGGGGTTTGAGCACTGCTCTTTTGTCGAACTCAAGGTGGCGGGGTATGTGAACACACGCACACACACGATAACCGAACCTCCCTTGTTCCGGTGGTTTAGACGACGAGCAGGCAGGCCACGTCCACAAACACAGTGCAGCATGTGATGAGAACCTCGCACTCCCTTCCCGCAAGTGAACGACATTGTGACGCCCTAGTTGAGGTATCCATATCCGTTGACATCGTGCCCTCAAACTTGTCTTGCTCGTATTGCTCATACTATAGGCGTTCTCCGAGATCAATCGCCTGACCCGCAGCTCCATTTCACGAAAAATTTTCGGTTTCGGAACAACCCCTTTTCCCACCTCGGCCACCTCCACCTTATCGCGAAGGTTCATTTCCATCGCGCCCGCTGCTGGCTTGCGGTGCAGCGTGGAGTGACAATGAGAAATGACTCCCGCTGGAAATGGTCTAACCGCTAAGGCACGCAAAACATGGGTACGTACCCCTCCCCGTGCGCTCAACGGATCAAAACAATCGGTTGACGCTTAGTACCTCGGGCCGGACGGCATCATGAAAGAGCCTAGCACAGATGCCGAATGAATCCCTTGCACTGGAACAACGCAGGCGCTTCGTGATTCAACTCAACTTAAAGAGGCCCACTGGTACATGCAACTTGAACTATTTCCCGGGACATGCTGGCGCTTTCAGAACAACATACTACTATGGATTCAAACCACACTGTCTTTTATCTAGTGTATCATTAATGTATCTAACTTCCAAACGCAATTTCTCTTGATTGTGCGAAATCTCTAGCGGTACTGGCTAACGTCTGTCTCTGAAAGATTGTCAGTTGTTCTTGTTCGGGTCTTCCGACGTCTTGTTCATGAACTCCTCCGGTAGCACTCCCGGCTCATCGGGCAGCTCGGACAAGAGCTTCCACAGGGACCCGAATTGCTGCTGCTCCTTGAAATTGATGTGTGCCCTACTCTCTGGTGTCAGCTCATACCTGAAACGGCCGGAGCAAGACACCGGTACCAAACAGTCAAACACGACATGATGGTGGAGTAGACCTTATCGTCACGCACGAAATGTACAAAGCGGTTACATGTGTTGATGTCGCTGCGCGTACCGATGGGAATGCTCTTGTTTTTACTTCTGGCAGCGAGGGTGTGGCGTTTCCACACAACCTAATGCCGGATTCGTGATTGAACTCCAAGAGAGGTCCCAAACAGGTACACAAATTGGGCAAGTCATGTCCCATGGCTCTCTCTGCGGTGGTCAAGCACGCGGGCAGTGTACTATCACACGGCTATGTCCTGGGACTCAACATAACTGTGAGAGACCGTTTGCCGTGCTACAAGCCGACTAATTTGTACATGTGATGCTGCAGTGCTGCCTAGGCTATAGTCTAGTCTTCTCACCAGTGTCGGAGATCCCGTCGCTCCGCACTCACATCTTTGAAAAAGCGAGAATCCTGTAGACAAAGATAGGAGGGTACGAAAAGGACGACTTATCAAATCAATCCCATCAACGTGGCTTTACGAGCTTCCACAGGATACAGCAGTCTTCACGATCAACTGTTGCCATTACACACACAGCTGTCTACATTTCGGATGGCACACTTGTTCGTTTGGCAAAAGAAAAGGCCTGCATGCCAGACAAAAAAGTAAAACACGATCCAACAATGGGAATGTATCGCAACGCGTAGAGTAGCGCTGCCGGGTGACCATGGAAAGTGGTGATGAGTTTCGAACGGACGCGCTGACACGTCGTGGGCCCGTAACACCGGTTCATACCGTGTCCTCCTTTTCTTTCCGCTCCATGACGACAAAGCTGCCGTTCTCTGGGTTAAGCGTCTCCTCGAAGTCTGCGATCGAGTACTGGAACCACCGCATCACCAGCTGCAGCAAATGAAAAAAGAGTACAAAAACACGCGAGAAAACAGACAGGCATCCATGACAAACGAGCAACAATACCACAAACGCGTTCAGCGTATAAATCGGAAAATACTTTGTACATGACTCATCCGACGTCGCGGTCGGGGGGAAACGGTAGAAATAGGGCGCTCTCAGTACGCCGACAAGGTGGCGATTTCCTGCAAAAATGGTCGTCTGTTGTGCACCTCAGATTTTCACATTCACAACCATCTCATCATGTCAACCCGGGGTGCTAGCATGATACGAGCCCCCAACCTCGCCCCTTCCCTTCCCCTCCCTCCCCAGCATGGGATGATAGCTGAGAGCTCTCACCAAGCGAAGGGTGAGGCCGTGCGTGACGATGATAACGTTCAGGTCATCTCTGGCAATGCTCTCGTTGGCGAAGTCTCTGAACATGGTTGCGATGAACGACGTCGCCCTGTTGTACACGTCCAGTCCAGACTCGCCCTGGGGAAATCTGGGCCATCGCGGCCGGCGGGAGGGAGGAAGGGTAAGCGTGGGGGATACTTATCGGGGGTACACCAATCTCTTCATCTCTTTTGTTCTCGTCACGGGGCCTACACGAGGGTAGTTCGTGAACCATCGCGTGAAGTTCGAGGCACTAGGCAAGGTTGAGGTGTATTGTTACTAGGGCGGAACGGTGCCTTGTCTGTTGGGAACGAACATCAACACCACACTCACCTACGCAGGTTTTTCTCAAGTAAGCAAACCTACTGGATAAGGTATCGGATGGCCAAGTTAGGGTTAGGGTTGGATTCTGCGTGCCCTCTGCCTAGTCTTTCTATATAATAAAGATACTTTTGCACAGGCAGTCCATCACACTCCACACTCCACACTTGGCTGGCGGAGAATAGTCACACACGTCAACACACAACACACAACACACAACACGTATCATACCGGTAGTAGAAACGGCCGAAGCGTGCCCGCTCCGCCTTGGAGTTGACGATGGTCGCCAGGTTCTGGAAATTCCCGAACTGTTGCTCCGTCAGCCTAGGCTCCTCCCTTACCCCGACGATGTAGTTGGTGTCGAAGGCCTCCACCATCCCAGCCAAGGTCTGCAAACGACATGACGAGCCCGGCCGCACACAAGCACCCAAGACAAAAGAGGGGGGAGGCACGACACGTGGGGCAGGGTATGAGACGTTGGGGGATGCACGAACAGCGTGGCGGTGGGGAGGAATGGAGGGAGCAACGGGGTTGGAAACCTCTCATGGTCTGCCCGGGTGTATTTCTGAGCCTTACAGCTACCACCGTAGACCTCTAGATGCTCTTGATAGGTTTGTTCAAGAAGGACAACAAGATCGTCATCGTCATTCGAGAGATGCATGAATTTAGTACACGTTTGATTGGGGTGTCCGCCAGACGTGGCCAGTGATGATTCCGGTTGAGATACCCCACGGCGCGTCAGGATCGGGATAAGGGTCGCTTGTCCCGTACGACCGGCACCACGGCGATTTCAAAAACACAACTCGACGCGGGCATCACGGCCATAACGTGGAGGTTGTCTGTCTGTCCTCGCCACCAACACCTTTTTCTGACCTTCACTCAGCAACGTTCCTACCTTCACGACAAAGAAAAACACATCCCCACGTTGTTCAACGAAAAGGTCAGACTTCAACCCATCCCCGTCGACTGCTGTGGTTATACAGTTCAGCATTTCGAACGGGTGCGCTTTCTTTGATTGTACGTATATGTATTGCCTAACAAGTACCATTGAAACAGGCCCAGGGGAATTATATCCCATCGCTCGGGAAAGCAGGTGCATCCAGAAAAACAGCAAACAAGGTCGTCCCTGCACATGGCGCACCTGCTTTGTTCTGAGGTAAGGAGACGTGTAGATGAAGAGTGGCTTGTCTCCGATGTACTCCTTGATCTTCTCCCCCGCTTTCTGGCCCTCCCCGAACCCCTTCTTCGTCAAGGGAATCTTCCAGTCAGGGACGTGGACGTAAGTCTGGACGGAGTCGCGGCAGAGCAGCAGCGTGTTTGTGATAGATACATGAGGGTGGAGTAATTGTGGAGGGGGTGAAGACGGCTGGTGCAAGGTGTGAAGTGCATGACAAGGGACCACCGGGCACCGGGCACATGCATGGCTTTGCGAAGTACAGACGTTGTTGAGAAGCTCGATGTGAGCCCGGAACGCGAGGGAAAAGCCAAGCACTAGATAACTGTTTCGGCACATACAGGCTGAACGGCTGAGCTAAGAACACGCATGAAATGAGGCTTGGCGATAAGGTGTGTTTATCCGATCTATTGAGTGCTTACCGACTCGTCTCGATTCCCCAGACTCTCCCCGTGGCGCACGATGATGATCCGCTCCGGCTTGACCACGCGTCGCTTGCCATCCCCACTGAAAAGGCCCAGGCTCTCCTGTTGTGAGGGCGGACCGCGATGGCTATTGATAGGTTGGAAGCGCCAGCACTAACCTGATCCTCTGCTTGCTTGTGCACACTTGAGATATGCTTCAAGCGTGATGAACAACTATCAGACTCCGTATACATGTAAGAACATCAAACGCCTGGAAGTAGGCCGAAGCAGTATAGAAGGGGTAAATGACAGCGTTCTACAGGAGGAGGGTTCGCGACTTGCAGACGGTATACGCATACAACATGCCTCCTGAGATGCTTAACACCACAGGCATACAGAAGCTGCAGAGCGTGTTTTTCCGGCCGCTGGTAGACAGGAGGAACGTGGTCACCTCATCTACCCTGGAACAGCCTACAATCATCAAAATGACGTGCATGAGCGCTGAGCGGCACATTGTTGTTTCGTACATTAGCTCTGTCACAGACCGTGCAAACTCGCAACTTGCCACGTTACTATACATTCGGTCGCAACGATTCCCCCGCTGGGATATACGCATACAGCAGTTTTCCTCCGCTCACTGAAAAAGACTAGATCCCGTTCGAATGCGGGTATATCTCGAACGGGTATTCTTTCTGTGTGTTTACGTATTTTTTCTAGTGCAGCAGGAAGTAAACAGACCGATGCAAGAACAATCTGGGTAAGGACGCGTATGTAGGACACCCAGCTCTGCTTGGTCCAACTCGTACCGAAAAACACTGCTCCTCTATGAAGCACATGGCTCCTGTACTGCACCTGATCGCTGTGAGGAAAGTGCTGACCGCTACCCCTTAGGAATCGACGCTGGTCCTGAGGGTGGTGCATCCGTGCACCTGGATGGTGCGATGCCCTCCTGCTGCTGAGGGACGAATCACCAACTTGAAATTGAAGTCGCGTGCGTCCCGAAGCAGCTCTACGAGTACCGAACCGTGCACGGCTCCCCTTCCCCAGCCCTGACTTCCGTGTACAATCGTTGCCCCCACTGACACGGGATGCTAACGCGAATGCATGTCTTGAGTGGCACGCTGGCGATACGGCAATCATACTTGTAGCGATCGCCCTTGTGGTTGATGTTGTCGGGGTACAACCTCGCGTTTGCAACTGCCGCGCTTGTGATTGAATTCCCAACGACCCAGCCCTTTCCCCAAGACGAAGTCCTGCCTTTCGATCGAACATAACGGCGTGGTTGTGTGATGCAGATGGTGGCCTCCTACTCACGTATCACATGTGTCTTGTGCAGCATGGGCACGTCGTACAGCTCGGAGCTCGGAGAGCTCGAAGGGTGGGAGCTCCGCGGTTGGGAGGGTGGGAGCTCCGCGGTTGGGAGTATGCAGCCCCACCGGGTCTGGTTGACTGCGCGCGGATGCACGAATACCAACCGAGCACCCCCCACCCCAGATCTTTGGAATTTATGTTCGTGAGGTGGATCATGTCATCCTTACGAAGGCTACTGCGGTAGTACTCACGTGTGGTGTTGAGCTATTTAAGTGCGCAAGTACATGGCCGTCCATCGGTCATATGGATCTTCGGGGTATCTCCGGTAGCGGTATCTTTAGCAAGTTGTCACGCGTTCCGTGCTATCACGCGTTCCGAGTTCCGGATGTGTCTTGCGACTGTTGCTCGCGTGCCTCGGTGTTTGTGATGCACCCTGGTGCCCACTCTCTTCCGTTGCTTGTGTCTACGAGGACGCCCAATAAGACGACTTCACCGTCTCTTCACATTGTCAACCGGGACAGCCGTGCTTATCCAGCAGCACTCGGCTTGGGGCCAATCAACAAATTACTGCACTAAAGATGAATAAAAAAGCCGTGTAATAAAGAATCCCCAAATAGATCCGCAGTTCATAAGAAATAAGAGCTTGACCACGAGAGCAGGTGCTCAGTTTCGAATCGTACACTACAACACACTAAAACCTAGATATGCTCGTTATTGCGTTCGGCATGTCGGTTTTGCTCTACACCAGTGGTATAGTATTACTTTATCTCAAGAGAGAGGAAAACGAAACGAACCTCATCTCCAGGCAAGGCACAGCAAGAGGCACAGCAAGAGGCGCCTCTACACCAGTACTACATATAGACTGGCGGAGAGAACGAATGCCTAGCGCTGTACAGTGGTAAGAGTACATCATCGAGAATCAATCGCCACAAGAAGCAATAATCAGCAAGCCAGGCTTTTTCTTCGCACCAGCCCTCATCCGCTGGCTAGCCGACAGAGTGAGTGACGTGCTACGAGGTTTGAGGTTTGGGGCCTCGGGCTAGCAAACGATTCCTAAACTAGATTGCCCTAGATCATAAAAACGAGCATGATGCCGCGATGATCTCCTCTTGTTCGTGCACATGCCACCGCCGGCACGTAATGACCCTCATTATTCTTTCCCACGATTTACGCAACAAAAGTGGCAACATAAAAACAACTGGTACGATACCTGTCTACTTCAAACAAAACTTTCGGGGCGGCCGTAGCCGTGCAAATCCCCACAGCTAGCCCCATGCACGAATATTATTACTACCGTAACGGCTACAAGGAGTTCTGCCCGTGGATATACCGTCCTCCTATTTCTGGGGCCTTTCTTGTATGACTATTGGGTGCTCAACTACTATTATAGCGACCACACCCTATCCAGCTTGCCCCATCTCTTATTTCGCCTCTCCTTCGTCGACCTTCACAGCCCCACCACTTTGGGAAGCGCTCGCACCACCAGGCGCCGCATCGCCTTCGCCACCCTCCTCATCATCCCCCGACATATCCGGCACCAAGCCATCGTCCGCGTTGGAATCCTCCAAAACGTGGTGGAACTGGGAACACTTGAGCATCTTCACCATCACATCCGTCCTCTTTTCCTCCAGCACTTCCAACTCTTCCCTTCGAAGCCTCTCCTCTTCGGTCTCGGGCTCTCCACTTGCCCCCTCCTCGCTCTCCTTCTCGCCACCCTCGCCCTTTCGGCTGTGTCCCCCTTGTCTACCGGAAAGCGCATTTTCATCGCCGCCCCCTACAGCCGTACCGGCACTGCCTTCAAACGCTACGTCTGCGCCAGACCGTCCCACTTCTCGATCGCTTCCAGCCCCAATCTCGGTTGCCCCCGTCTTCTCTTCGAACCCATCCCCGCCTCCCGGTGCCTCTGCAAGGCCTCGCCCATCGTCCTTGGCGGAAGAACTTCCAGGAGAAGTTCCTGGAGATTTGCTGCCATCGGAGGAGGTCTCGGAAGGCGGTTGCAGCTCGTTAATTCTGGTATTTAAGGCATCAAACCTGTCGCGCGAGCGGGCGGGTAGGGGGCATGGGGATCAAGCGCGAACCCCGGAGGTGGGGTAAGTGGACATGTCTACGCTGCACGTCAAGGAGCCCATTGCGGTATTCCGTGTTACCTTATACCGTTTCAACTGGGCTGCCTTGCAAATCAAAGCCACAAAACACACCAAACAAACAGCTGCGTCTCTAGGCATACAACACCCTTTTCACAAAGAAGGATAGTTGCTATCCTATCCATTACATTCTAGAAGGCACCATTTCGTCATGAAAAAAGCAAGAGCCGGTTCTCCCGGAAGGACAAATACTCGCACGCACTCTTTGTAAATATCCCGGCACGGACTGGACTCCAGCGAGTTGCAGATGGTGCAGGGTTGCGGGGTCCACCCGTCCTCGCGCTTCCCCCCTCCTGCAGTCGTGGTTCGGCAAACACCGGTCATGCCTTCGACCCAATCCGCCCGGCAGATGGAACCCGTGAGAGTGAGGGGTTCGTCGAGTTTGTTGTAGCTGCCCTCTTCGCTAAGGAAGTCCCTCTCGTGGGCCGAAAGAGCGGGGAGTAACCCTTTCCACGAATCCTGAAGCGTTCGTGAAACGACCGTGTCGAGGTGAGCGACCGCGGCCATGTGTTGAGTGCGACAGCAGCAGCTTGCTGGAAACGAATCAAAATGAGGGCAGTGCTCAAAGCAAGGTAAGGTACAAGTGTATCTTCATTGGTTCTCTTTTTCTTAACCCTGGAGATCGCAAGTGTTGAGACTCGGTCTGTTGATGCTGAAGTGCCAACGCAGGACTACACCAGGAACAAAACCCCGCTGCGCGATGAAAGTTAGCTCCAAAATCCGTGTGGTTGTACGAGTGACGGCACAACTTGGCGAGGAGCGGCGGCACACCAGGACGGGTGAACAGTGGAACCAGAGGTACCGGCTGTAAATGATCGCCGAGCAAAATGTTAGACAGACGAGGTCGACAAGTTTCGGCACAACGAGCATGGAAGCACGTTGTGGATTGTGGCACGTCTTTGCAAGACCAGGTGCGGTTTGTCCGTCGCAGCTCCTCAGGTACCTAAAAACACGCGAAACGTGGGTGCGTGCGTTGATTAAAACGACAACACCACGTGCTACTACTGACAGGTTTAGTTTAGCTCAATTGTTCCACACGTGGAAACTCTCCATTTTGCAATATCACTTGCTGAAAATCGCACTACTGCTGCTACTGCTGTCAAACGTCTAGTCTATCTGTAATCTACTCGGAACCTAAGCAGGCAAGGTTCACAACACATACGTATAGCTAGACCACGCCCATCACCTCGGCTACTGCCCCAACTCGCTTGATCTGCTCGATGAGGACGGTGCTGCCCAGGGGACCTCCACCCACTTCCCCGGGAGTTACATCCACGGCGCATGAGAGGGACGGCGGCTCCACAGAGGTCCCGGCGCTCGACACCGAAGCCACGAGAGCAACGCGATTTTCGCTAGAAGCCTCGCCAGTTAACTGTCAAGAATACAAGTATGGCGGTAACGGTAGCCGTGGCGGGAATGAGTGGAACGGAGGGGGGTGCGGGGCGAAGATGGCGATGGACTGTTACTTGGATCACGTCGTTCGCCCGCAGCGGTTCACGTACATAAACCGTTTCTACTGCCCTTGCGTAGGAAGAAGAAGCCCTGCATTGATCGGTTGGTGTCACAAAGGGGATGGCTATCTGTATCTGTGTCATGAATGCGCAATACCGAAGCCTTCCCTACACGGTGCTACCTGGTTTATCCTAGGCGTACCTTGACTGTCGCCGAGTCACCGAAGCGAGGTTCGTACAAGCCGCGCTGCTCGTCGGACGGGTCGTACTCGATCACCACCTTCCTCAGCCGGCCCGGATTGGTGCCTGGGTACTTCATCTGCAACTTTTCAATGGAGGAATCGTCTAGGTAGACGGCCACCATAGGCCCGGTGCGCTGCAACGGCGGGCTTGGCGCTGGTGCTGGTGCTGTGGTTGCATCATCTATGTCTTCGTTGTCCCTGCAACAAGTGGTGTGCGTGATTGTAGGTGTTGAGGGAGCGGGAAAGCGGGTCTAGACTCAAGCGTTGATGATGCAAGCCATGGGTGTCATATTCGTCTGTGCTGTGTGGCGGGATACACCGACAACGTACCTTTGAGGTAGCGTGACCGGCTTCGGCAATGCATGTTTGTGCGATCAATCTTCTGTTGTCAGCGAAGAGGGTTGTCCTGCCCAACAAGGCCCGTGAGGTTCAAACGAGCAAGTCTGTGCGAACACTGCTGCACACCGCTGTACACGTGTAAATGTGGCAGTTTACCGTCGATTCAGAGAGCTGCTTTGGCGATTCTTGAAGTCAGTATATCTGACCTTTTCCCTCCAGAGCACGTTTGCTTGCACTCCTACGATGGTCTGGCTTGCGGTTTTACCTGCGTCTACGGGTTATTGGCCAGCAGCAGTGATGATGTTGCACCCAACAACAGCAGTGTACTAATATAATAACGCACCACGTCCAAGGGTGCCTAGCACGCATGGCTCGAGGACTGACCAGTTAGCCGTACCTGTGACCTGACCGGCAGGTCTGTTGGTTTCGAGAAAAAACATTTCAGCCATACACAAACGGAGCTGTCAGACTGCTGTGCAGCCGATCTCTCCCGGAACAGAACACTGGTTATTGCACTGCTGTATCACATTTTTTTACGAGTACTGAGACATGCCGTGGGTCTAAGCTCTCTGCACACAGACTCAACGCACACAGCACACCGCACAACCCTGCGTGCGGGACATTATCAGTCAGCAGCAGTCAGCATACCAGTACGTACCTCATGCTACGCCAGGCCCATAAGCCTGCAGCACCCGCGACCAATCCACCAGCTGCTACTCCAGCGATTGGAGATATCCTCTTCACGGCCTGGCTCATGGTGTTTTGCACTGGCAGAGCACAGCGAGTGTGCAGAGCGGGAGAGCGCGCCGCTATGGAAGATGACAATATAAAGAGCGAAGCACTTTATATTGTCATCTTCCATCTCCGCCGCCATCGAGGCGCGCCGCAGCAAGGGGTGGGGGGGTCTGTGGATCGCAGACGTTATGGATGCACATCGTACGATACTGGGTGAGGGGTCCTGGTTGCCACAGCAGGTCTGCTGCTGTCGCTACAACACTGCTGGAGTCGAGTTTCGAGTGTCGAGTCACACCACAAAAGCAAGAGCTACGATCAGGGGGTGAGTGCAGAAACAGCAGTTCCGTTGTTACTTGCTTTCGGGGTCAAGAGGAAATGTAGATGGAGAGAGCGGTGATACATATAGCTTGAGATAAACGCTGCTTGCCGAACTACAACATTGTTTGCGAGGTAGATGCAACCTCGTACCCGCCGTGCCTGTGGATGGCGCAGCTTCGAGTGTGTCGGGGACCGAGCTCCGAGCCACACTGCTTCGGCTTGTGCAGGAGTGTTGGTCGTTGTAAGACGCTTGCGTGAGGTATTGACAATCGGGTACAAGCCGTGGTCGGTGGGGTGCTCACAGAGTAGGTGCGGCGGAATCGCGGGATGGTGATCTCTTGACTTCCGCCGCAGTGCCGCAGGGCGAAGTACTGGTGTACTTGCTGCTTGCGACGGGGGTGTATGGCAGGGAGCGAAGAAAATGGAGCTACAGCTCAAGCATCTAATGGGAGCAATGTGCAGGGTGTATGTCGATCAGGCTGTTTGCCTGGCTGGTCTTGGTACAACAGTGCTGTGGTGTGATGCATGCTACGCGAGTACAAGTACTGAGCACGCGAGCCCCGGTCGGCAAGACACTTCTGTGCTGGTGGGGTGTACCTTGTGGTGAACGGAATCCCCTGTTTGACAACCGTTGCCACTTGTGCCCCGCTCCACTGCAACATGAGCGAGCCATGTGCAGCACCACTCGAGGATGTTGTTGCTGTGGCTTCGAACCTGAAATCATCCCATCTGCGGCCGCCGTGCTGCGGAATCTGCCTTCCGTGGCAAGGCGACTACTGCTGTCGCCTCTTCCGGTGATTGCGAACCTACCCGCGACCGTTGTGCCGAGGGAGGCTTGTTCTAACACCGACCGGCTGTTTTTTTGTTCCCGACGAATGAAATGAATGTTCGCACAGACACGAGAAGCGTTTCGATTGTTGCTATTATTAAGCACGATGGGAGGTGACCACGACGGCATGGAGGGCAAGGCGACCGAGGAGGAGATGGTTGCGGCTAAGATGCCCGTGGCCTTCCGGGACTCGTGCGCCCACCTGCTGTTGCCCCTCAACAAGTGCAGGAGATCCACCATGTACTTGCCATGGCAGTGCTCGCACGAGCGTCACATCTACGAGAAGTGCCAGTATCTCGAGTGAGTCAGGGTTGCGACGACTTGTGTCCTTCTTTCCCAATGCATGCGCCCGTGTCCGTGTTTGGGGGGCTGCTTCGGCGGTGCCGTTGTCCCTCAGTGGCCCACAGCTGTGCTTTCGCATGCACAAGTAAACTCAGGTTGGTCACCTGCTCCAGTTGACGCTTGGCCACTGGCAACATGCAGCCCTTATCAAAAACGTTACATGTAGTGTGATCGTACCTCGTTCCCCCCCGCCTTAGAAGAACCGTACTGCTGTAGCTCCGTTGCAACGTCTTGTGCCCTTCGGCCCAGGAGTCAGTGCATTCGAAGCAGTTCAGTCGCCCAAGGGGCGATTGCCTCTCATCTGTGGCACGTACCAATGATGCGGTGGCCCTTGAACCTTAAGGCATTTTGTTTGCTCCCGAACCACAGCTGAAGCTCGAAAAAGTCGAGTCCGAGACGAGGTCTTGTTTACTTTTCCCTTTCTGCCGTAGCAAACACCTGGCGCTGCTGCTACTTTCGACATAATCCGAAGCTATATGGCTGATGCGAAGCTAACCTTACCCCCCTTACTGCGTTCGACGCCCCCCGTGCCTTTTCCCCTCGAATGCTTGGACGGTCCTCCCGGTTTTAGCTTTAAGGATAGGAAGGCGATGATGAAGGAGAGCAAAGAGTCGTGATGGCCGCCACTGCCATTGCCCTTGGGAGGGAACACCTAGGCATTCGGCCCTTGCGTTTGGGGACGATTGTTTTACAGGGCATTGGGGGTTGGGTGTGGTTCGGGGTAGCTGCTGCTGTGAAACACGTGGGCGGGCGGCTGTAGCGAGGCCATTAAGTCGGGGACGGGATGGCATGGGAGGGATGCCTTGAGGCCTCCCCTCCTCACTCCGTCCGGCAATGAAGCGCTGCGCCTGCCACGTTGTAAAGCAGCGGTCAGTGCAGCCAGCTGCTGCATATAGGCTTATCACTACAATGGAAAGCATTTTCGGCGGAGGAGGGTTGAGCATGCATCAGTGGCTACGTAAGCGGTAGAGTGGGCTCTTTCGCATTGATGATTGGTATTGGTATTGGTGAGCTGAGCGAGCAACAAGGAAAATGCCGAGAGAGACCAGGCCACGCTTGCTTGGACGATTCTCCATAGAGGAGGAGATGATTGACTCTGCCGCGCTGCCATTCTGTTGCTAAAAATAGGCACAGCATTGCGTCGCGGTTGCATTGGATTCTGCCTACATCGGCATTTGACCATTACCATAAGCTTTCATCGGCCACCAAAACTCAGCGGGGCAACATAATGCCAACGTCCGCTGGGATTGAATTGTTCAAGGAATTGTCTATGCACGCAGGAAACAACGGCATATGGTCCACACTACATGTGTAAACGTTTGTAACGAGAGTGGCGATTGAGAGACCAACGAGAGCGCCGTGTCTCACGAACACGTCATGCGCAGTGTTGTGCAATTGCGAACCTCTGCGGGCGATCTCCTCTTTGTGTACCCAGAGAAACCACCCAGCTGCTGTCGTTTTAGTTCCTAGACAACCTACTGCGAGAAATGCTCCCGCCTGCGCGACAAAGATTCCGCAAAGGAAGACGAACACATGTACGCATACCTTGTACCACCTCTATAGACTATCAACCGAAAACTGGCGCTATCAACATGTCACGCCACTAGTGAAGCAAGTCTCATATCCTCTGGGGCCCAAGAGAAATACTTTATCAAGAGCAGTTATTCCTTTTGACCTTTCACCAAGACGGTCACGTCGCCTCTTACGTCTCTAGTTACCCTCAAGTCTTGGTCAAGGTAAACGCTCTCAAACCAACCCTTCGTTCGTACGTTGTGCACCAACATTGGGGTGACGAAAATGACGGCATCGATCCCCGAGCAGTACACAGCGTCACGAGTCGCCACGTTCGAACGATAGGGCATAGGGCAGGCACAAGTGGGATGAAGCAACAATGGGGGGGGGTGTCAAGAGAGAACGAGAGTGAACGGCGTGATTCTCACGTTGGCGCTCACTACTTGAATACCTACGCGACCAAGAGGCACGCACACGAAACGAAACCCACATACTGGTCATATGGTTGCCGAATTCATACCTTGTTCTCTACCACCACACCAACACGAACGAACGTTCTCTCCAGTTTCTTAGACGCCGGTACAAGAGTCGAACACAAACCGAGAAGATGACGACATGATGGCTGACTTCGTCCTCTTACCTTTCCAACCGGCGGCAGCGGTATGGTGAATCCCCCGTATTTGAGCTTGCACGCCTCGAACTCAAAGTTCACCCGTGGTCCAGAATCCTATTGTAGATTGTAGAGGCGGACCGCGGCACTTTAAGGAGCACAGAATAATGATGGGGCGCGAATACTGCTGTGCGGTGGCGCTTCTTTGTTAGCGGGGGAGGTCGACTGTTGTAGCTTCCCACGCGGTTTTGGGCTACAAGCATGGGCAAATAGCTTTGTCGATCAAGACCTGAGCTGGTGTTGCCAAGAGGGGGTCCCTCCCACACCCCAATTGAAACTTGAAACAGCACCCCCAGCCGGAAGGGAAGGGATCTGTGACTGCTTTCTTTCAACTTGACAATGAGCAAGACAAAAAATACCCGAACATGTCCCCGAATCCAAGTGCAGGATACACGACTCCTGAACCTACATGAAAACACTCATCGGTCGCAGACAATCTGACGAGCGTGCTTGTGCCCGCGACCTCTTCTTCACCCATGCGAATTGAAGTCAAACTTGTTCCATCACGCAGGATGTGGAAAAACAACCCATCGCACGATGACAATATAATAGAGCTTTGCTGCAACTTCATTTCAGTGCTTCCAATGTAGGACACGTGTTTCACGTGTGTGCCCTTAGTTCAACAAATCTGTATCAAGACTCAAGACAAGTGCACCGTGTGACTGCCTTTGCCGATACTGCACTGCTAGCAGGTGTCTGGTATAGACGGTAGCGGTGACAAGCTAGTCTGAAGCTCGTTTCCGAATCCTATAACGTAGTGGAGTCTACACTGCCTCAAGAAGGCGGACGATCCTTGAAGTGAGCTCGCTCCGAGTCAAAATACGGACCACACACGCGACTTGCTCGGAAAATTCGTATCTCCAGGACATTAGGCCTCGACCAAGGGACGGGAAATGCTCAGGATACGCCATTAGTCCGATGACTTGGGGGGCTATTCTTGGGAGTTTGTTGGTTCGAGGCGTGGCGCCTATTAATAATTCCAATACCGTCCCGCCCACAACACAGAGCCAGCCAAAAAATAATTCACGATTCTCCACAAAACACTTTTCTTCGAAACCGTTCCCAGACAGCACTCACCTCCGGATCAATCGACGACGCCACCTCGAACAAGGAGTCGTCTCCAAAGATCATCCTATTGGACAGCGTCCTGGCATCCACGTCTATGTCCTGCTCCACCGGCCCAGACGGCTTTCCGGGTAAGCCCCGCTCCATCAAGAAAATTATCTCACGCTCCGTTGTCCACTCCAAAATCCACCGCGCGCTTAAGCTTTCGCTCGTCACCGATTTCGCGTTTGGGTTGACTGTGCCAGTAGCGGGGGCGGGGGTCGAGGGGGCTGAGTGCGTTAGTAGGGAATGGGCGAAATATGCGGGGTTTCAGCATGCAACACAATACTGCCGTGGGTCGGAGGAAAACTTCACATGTCCGGGGGCGGTGTTCCACAAGGTTTT